TAAACAAGACATCATATCCTTTATCACATAATTGGCTAATACTAAATAGGTTATGTTTTAAGCCCTTAACAAGTAACACATCATCAATAGATAGGGAGGAGGAGATACCAATAGTTCCAATGCCAATGACCTTGCCTTTTGAGTTGTCACCGAATGTGACGCTTCCTCCTTTATGAGGTTTGATGGAGTGAAATTTTGATTGATCTCCCGTCATATGCCTTGAACATCTGCTATCAAGAAACCATTTGTCCTTGGATAAATATGGAGACTTCAAGCAAACCTACAAAAGGAATTTGAATAATCTTCTTTTGGTACCCACATTCTCTTGGGTCCATGAGAGTTAGGAAGAGGTGTATAAGTTCCTTTAATAACCCAAACTTCTTTTGTCCTACATGGCCTAATAGGACAATGATTGATCTTATGTCCTATTTTTTTACAATAATTACATTGTGGACTAAAAGAGGAATTTTTAACAAAGTAATTGTTCAAAGGTTCTCTCTTTTTCAATAAACAAGAGTCTTTGTTGTGAGGATCAAATCCAAGTCCATCCTTGGCATAAGCATTTCTTTGCTTTCCAAGTATGAGACCCAAATTTTCTCTACCTTTTTTGAATTTTGCTAAGGTCTCAATTTGATCTTCAATCATAATTTTTAATGATTTATTTTCAGAAATTAAATCTATTGAAACCGATTCTTTAGCTAATTTTTTTTCCTTTTTCAAAGCTTCATTTTCAAGTTGAAATTTTTCAAGGTTTTGAGAGATGATATTCTTTTCCCTTTTTAGAGTAGCACATTTTTGAACCATTTTGCCTAATTCATCATGCAATTCTCTAAAGGCATCTAGCAAGTAATTGTGTGCATCAACCAATTCATCATAAGTAGTTTCCAAATTAAATGAGTCATGATTAGAAATTACCTCATCGTCATCGGCCATGAGACAAAGATTAACCAATTCATTGAGTTCATCGTCACTTTCGGATCCATTTGAATCATCATCCTCCCATGTAGCTTGTATGGCCTTTCCTTTCTTTTTCCTTTCCTTTTCATTTTTATAGGCATAGCAATCGGATTTGAAATGCCCCGGTTTTCCACAATGGAAGCAAGTAGGTGCTTCTCTTTTTCCTTGCTCACTAGATGACCCATTTCTTTTGAAGTTGTTGCTCTTTTGGAACTTCTTCATTTGAAGGATTCTTCTCACGGTTTTGGTTATGAGAGCAACTTGTTCTTCTTCTTCATCATAAGGAGCCTTATCAATTGCAACTTCTTTGGTAGTAGCTTGTAGAGCTATATCCTTCTTTTGAGTTTCTTCATCTCTATCATTCATTTCTAGCTCGTAAGCCATTAATGAACCAATGAGTTCGTCAATGGGAAGTGTGTTAAGATCTTTGGCTTCTTGGATGGCGGTCTTCTTTGCTTCCCAATTCTTTGGCAAAGATCTAAGGATTTTTCTTACATTGTCGGATGATGTATATTTTCTTCCAAGAGCTTTCAAAGGATTAACAATATTAGTAAAACGAGAGTACATTTCACTAATAGTTTCTTTGTTATTCATGGTAAAAAGTTCATATTTATGGACAAGCATATTCATTTTGGATTCCTTAACATGACTAGTACCTATATAGGTAACTTCAAGTTTATCCCAAACTTCTTTAGCCGTTTCGCAATCCGAAATTCTATTGAATTCGTCTTTGCTTAAGGCACAATAGAGATTAGTGATAGCCTTGACATTACATTGTATAAGCCTACGGTCATTGAGGGTCCATTCAATATCGGGTGTTGGAACATTTTCACCCTCTACTATCTTGGTTGGAACATGGTCTCCTTTTTCTACGGCTTTCCAAACATCTACATCTATGCCTCTTAAGAATGCTCTCATTTTGATTTTCCAATAGTTGTAGTCACTTCCATCAAACCAAGGGGGTCTATTGTTAGATTGACCTTCTTGATGAAAATTTGTATTGGCCATGATCGTTCTCTAAGATGATTAATCTTTTTCTAGAGATTAGGCTCTGATACCAATTGTTAACCACTAATTGACTCTAGAGGGGGGGTGAATAGAGTCAATGGCCAATTTTCGCAATTTATGAAATTTGTTTTACAACAACTATAATGCAATGATTAATTGAAAAATTCAAGCAATATAAAGCACAAGTATAAAAGAGATAGAGATAGGAAGATGCAAACAATGAACTCGGTGATTTAGCGAGGTTCGGAAACTCCTACTCCTCGGCTCAAGATCCCCCTTGAGACTTCCCAAATTCACTAGAGCTTCTCCTTAATGGTGGAGAGCAAACCTTCAAATTTGAAGCAAGACCTTGCTTCTTTTCCTTGCTAGGAGAACACCCTTCTCCTAGGCTTCTTTTGGGTCACACCAACCCTTACAAGATTGTAGCAAAGTTTGTAAATGAAATACAAGAATCTCTCTTAATAGATATACAAGTGTAAGTTCACAACTAGAGAATATCAGAATATTAATGAAGCTCAAGTTCTAGGATGAGAGAATGTAGTGATGGTTGAAAGTGAAAGCTCAGAGAAGAATTTAAATGGCTTATTGAATGCTCTTGAATGCTCTCTTGAATGTATTATTCAGTGGTGTATCTACTTCAGTAAATGAGCCTTCCTTATATAGATAACCGTAGCTTAATATGTCTGTTAGAAGTAGTTGGAAGACTTAAATGCAGAAAAGTGCCGTTGTAGATTCAAATTACTTAGAAGAGCCGGCTCTACAAAAAATTGGAGGAGGCTCCAATAAATGGGAGGCGGCTCCAATAACTGGGAGGCGGCTCCGATTCACAAAATGCATTCTACGACACACAATTTGGCTACTGGAGTGCAAAGAGCAGGCTCCTATATTTGGGAGGCGGCTCCAATCCTTGTGTAAGACTAAGAATGAAACACATCTTGTTCTGTGCACTTCCTATTATGAGAGCATGCATAAGTAAAGTTCATGGAAAGATTTTAGGCTTTCTAAAAACTGATTTTTAGAGAAAATATGCATGAACCTAAAAACTTGAGCTTCAGAAGATATTCAAATATGCTTTAACATTTAAATCTAAAGCTTTCACCATCCTATCTACCCTTTTCTCCATTCCCTGACCATGATCTTTTGAGCTTGATGAAGACTTGCTTTCTTCCTTGAAATTGTTTGATTGATCTTTGAAGTTTGAGTCTTTCTTTGATTTCTTGCAATCTTTGAGGCTTCATTGAGTCCATAGCTTGAGTACTTGAATGCTTGAAATGGCTCATCTAGCTCATTATATAAGATATGAACTATATATAACTCAATGAAAATATTAGTACATAAACATCATTAATGGTTTGTAATCATCAAAAATAAGCTTGACCTTTAGATAAAAATCCTTAGGCCAACACCTGGTGTGTTACCAGGTCCTACTCCTATATCTCTATGTTTTAGTGGATTTGGCGGGGTTCTTACGAGTTTCGAGAGTTTTAGTTCGGTATTATCCAACCAGGCATTTTCCCAAGGGGAGTCGATTCTCGATAACGCTAATGTCGCGTATGATAGGCTACATAAAATGGTAGTAAAAGACGACGCTGCCAGATTGCAGAACCTGCCAGCATCTGAACTTTCAAGGAAATTTCTTCATTTAATTAGTCAGGTGAGATTTTACCCTTATCATGTGCATCTCTTTCTTTTTCAACTATTTGCCACTATTTATTTATTTATGTATTGATTTATAGGGCACTACATACTCAGTTGTTATTGCAAAAGAATATGAAAAGCTTTCCCTAGAGATGGCTTCCCTCAAGGCTAAATACGAAGATGTTACTTCTATGCTTAAAAATAAAGAAGATGACTTGGCTAATGCGAAATTAAACTTTCAAGATGAGAAAGTGAGACTTACCAAAGAATACTTCAATACGCTGGAACTTGAGAAGTTAGCTGCCGTGGAGAGCTTTAAAAATTCTAACGAGTTCAAGGTGCTCATAGCCAAGGCTTGCTGTGATGGTTTTGACCAGTTCAAAGCTCTTGTCAGCAAAGTTCGTCCGGACATAGATTTTTCTATCTATGATATTCTGGCAGAGAGTGAAGAGGAAGATTGAACTCCATAGTAACAGTCATATATATATATATATATATATATATATATATATATATATATATTAGGTTTTTTTTTTTTTAGCATGTCGATCCCTTAGAACTGTTCAGAATATCTCTCAACTCAGAGAATAGTTGCTCTTCTTTTGACATCTCTCAACTCAGAGAATAGTTGTTTTTCTTTTGACATTTTATCTTTCATGATATTGCTTCATACTCGTTACTTCCGTATGCAGAATTTCTTTTACTTTTTCAGGCTTCACTCAGCTTGTCCTTCTTCTGAAGGAATGTCTTTTTACGAGCTTCACCCAGCTCTTCCCTCTAGTAAGGGAATATTTCTTTTAATAAAGAAATGGACTTAATGCTTTACTAGTCCTTTCGTGACTTATTAAATTTAGTAATAACGTAATCAGCAGTAGAAACACGTGAAATAAATACGAATTTTATTAAAGACTTATCGAAAACAATATTCGATAGTCGAGCATCAGCATCCATTAAACATTGGTCTACTTTATTGAAGCTAAAAACATACTATCACTTTTAAAAGTGAGATAATAAGACATAGCCTGTACCTACTGGTAATATTTCCTCAAAATGTTCTGTATTCCATGGGTGGAGAAGTTGGCTCCCACCAAGTGTCTCTAACCAATATGCCCCTGGTCTGTTGCACTGGGTTACTAAATAGGGGCCTTCCCAATTGGGAGCTAACTTTCCTTCCCCCTTCACCATAATAGCCGGGGTAACCTCGCGAAGCACCAGGTCCATTGGCTCGAACCTCCTTAGCTTAACCTGGGCGTTGTAGTACTTGGATAAGCCTAGCATAATTTAGGATTGGCCATAAAAAATACACCAGGTGATCCAAGGTATGGAATGGGCAGAACCCATTATCAGGTACATAGAGAACGAAGAGCTACACCAAGATCGCATGGAAGCACGAAAGATCAGGATGCCCAGAAGATATTAGTTATCATTTCGTCGCTATCCAACTGCACGGTGTGGAAAGATGAAGGATTCTCACAAGATTGAATTTTGAAATAATTTATCAGCCACGTCTTCTCTCCGTATTCTAACTCACTCTGTCTTCTGGTCCTCATAAAATTTTGTTGATCAACTTTGGTGTAGCTAATTGATTGCCTCCCACCAGCCTGCCTGCTCATTAAGTCAAATGCATTATCGAGTGGAACTCCAGATTGGCAGGCCAATTCCACATCAATTACTTGGGCAACACTTATTCTTCGTTGTGATGGCATCATATGTGTGCATTCTTCAATTATCATAGGATGATTGTGAGATTCGATAAAATTATATACAACATACTTTCCCTTCTCGCAGTCATATCTAATTTGCATCAGTGCACCACAACCAGTTCGAGTTTCAGCCCTGGGCTTTCTTGTATAGATATCCTTTTTGTCCTTCACTCTAAAACCTTGTTTGGAACACAAAAACTTGCTTGTTGTAATATTTCTTGTCTTTCGGCTTTTATTTGCATAATTCTTATGAATACTGAATCCAACTTTACCCCCATAAGCATTGTAAAAGTCATATGCTTCATCCTCAGTGTCAAACTGCATGTTCAATTTTGGTGTGAATTCCATCTCAATGGGATTGACAACTTCTGCTGCTAAGTTTTCGGTAATATTGATTTCAGCAACGATTGGAATGCTTGTTCTCACATCATTAGTACTTAAGTCGTCGTCCATTGGGATAACTTAAGTATGAATGCTACAAGAAGCAAAAGGTCCATCAGAAGGTTAAAGTCAGTTGCTATAACTTGTGACATAAAAAAAATACTAAATATTTACCAAAATAATGAAAAGGGCCAAAAAAAACCCTAAAATTATCCAAGATTTCAGATTCACTAGAATGCTTAACCAATGTCAATTTCAACTAAAAAATATCATAATTTACACTAACAGATGACAAATAAAAGAATCATAAATTCTTACACTTATGTGTGACAATGTTCAGCACTGTGTGAATACCTTTTATTAATAGTGAAGGTGATCAGTGTGCCAATTTATTAAATTTCGCAATGTTTATTTTCTTAGAAATATCAAATAATAACCTGTGAAATGTGTAATTGCCGCATACATTTAATACAAAAAAATTTGGATAACACAGTGGTACCTAATGAAGCCAACTCAGTTCAAAAAATCAATTATGAAAGATTTTAGATTCACTAGAATGCTTAACCAATGTCAATCAATTTCAACTAAAAAATATCATCATTTACACTAACAAATGACAAATGAAATAATCATAAATTCTTATAGTTATGTGTAACATTAGTTAGTTAGCACTGTGTGAATACCTTCGATCATTTAATGGTAAAGGTGATCAGTATGCCAATTTATTAAATTTCGTAATGTTTTTTTCTCATAAATATCAAATAATAACCTGTGAAATGTGTAATTGCCGTATACATTTAATACCAAATTTTTTGGATAACACATTGGTACCTAATGAAGCCAACTCATTTCAAAAAATCAATTAAAGAATATTTTAGATTCACTAGAATGCTTATTGAAGATTATAGAAGAAAATCCTACAATTATCCAAGATTTTTAATTCACTATAATGCTTAATCAATATCAATTTCAACTAAAAAAATATCATCATTTACACTAACAGATGACAAATGAAAGAATTATAAATTCTTATAGTTACGTGTGACACTAGTTAGTCAGCACTGTGTAAATACCTTCATTTAATGGTGAAGATGATCAGTATGCCAATTTATTAAATTTCGCAATGTTTTTTTCTCATAAATATCAAATAATAATATGTGAAATGTGTAATTGCCGCATACATTTAATACCAAAAATTTTGGATAACACATTGGTACTTAATGAAGCCGACTCAGTTCAAAAAATTCAATTATGGAAGATTTTAGATTCAATGGAATGCTTATTAAAGATTATAGAAGAAAATCCTACAATTATCCAAGATTTCAGATACACTAGAATGCTTAACCAATGTCAATTTCAAGTAAAAAATATCATAATTTACACTAACAGATGACAAATGAAAGAATTATAAATTTTACATTTATGTGTAACATTAGTTATTCAGCACTGTGTGAATACTTTATTTTGATAGTGAAGGTGATCAGTGTGCCAATTTATTAAACTTCGCAATGTTTGTTTTTCTCATAAATATCAAATAATAACCTGTCAAATGTGTAATTGCCGCATACATTTAATACCAAAATTTTGGGATAACACATTGGTACATAATGAAGCCAACTCAATTAAAAAAAAAAAAAATCAATTATGGAAGATTTTAGATTCACTAGAATGCTTATTGAAGATTATTAAAGAAAGCCCTACAATTATCCAAGATTTCAAATTCACTAGAATGCTTAACCAATGTCAATTTCAACTAAAAAATATCATAATTTACACTAACACATGACAAAATGAAAGAATCATAAATTCTTAAATTTATGTGTAACATTAGTTAGTCAGCACTGTGTGAATACCTTGTTTTGATGGTGAAGGTGATCAGTGTGCCAATTTATTAAACATCGCAATGTTTATTTTCTCATAAATATCAAATAATAACCTGTGACATGTGTAATTGCAGCATCCATTTAACACTAAATTTTTTGGATAACACATTGGTACCTAATAAAGCCAACTCAGTTCAAAAAATCAATTATAGAAGATTTTAGATTCACTAGAATGCTTATTGAAAATTATAGAAGAAAACTCTACAATTATCCAAGATTTCAGATTCACTAAAATGCTTAACCAATGTCAATTTCAACTAAAAAATATCATAATTTACACTAACACATGACAAAATGAAAGAATCATAAATTCTTATATTTATGTGTGACATTAGTTAGTCAGAACTGTGTGAATACCTTATTTAGATGGTGAAGGTGATATGTTTACCAATTTATTAAACTTTGCAATATTTTTTTCTCATAAATATCAAATAATAACATGTGAAATGTGTAATTGCAGCATACATTTAATACCAAAAATTTTGGATAACACATTGGTACCTAATGAAGCCAACTCAGTTCAAAAAATCAATTATGGAAGATTTTAGATTCACTACAATGCTTATTGAATATTATAGAACAAAACCCTACAATTATCCAAGATTTCAGATACACTAGAATGCTTAACCAATGTCAATTTCAACTAAAAAAATATCATAATTTACACTAACAGATGACAAATGAAAGAATTATAAATTCTTACATTTATGTGTGACATTAGTTAGTTAGCACTGTGTGAATACCTTAATTTGATGATGAAGGTGATCAGTGTGCCAATTTATTAAACTTCACATTGTTTTTTTTTCTCATACATATCAAATAATAACATGTGAAATGTGTAATTGCCACATACATTTAATACCAAAATTTTTGTATAACACATTGGTACCTAATAAAGCCAACTCAGTTCAAAAAATCTATTATGGAAGATTTTAGATTCACTAGAATGGTTATTCAAGATTATAGAAGAAAACCCTACAATTATCCAAGATTTCAGATTCACTAGAATGCTTAACCAATATCAATTTCAACTAAAAAATATCATAATTTACACTAACAGATGACAAATGAAAGAATCATAAATTCTTATATTTATGTGTGACATAAGTTATTCCACACTGTGTGAATACCTTCTTTTAATGATGAAGGTGATCATTGTGCTAATTTATTAAACTTCTGTAATGTTTATTTTCTCATAAATATCAAATAATAACATGTGAAATGTGTAATTGCCGCATACATTTAATACCAAAATTTTTGGATAACACATTGGTACCTAATGAAGCCAACTCAGTTCGAAAAATCAATTATGGAAGATTTTAGATTCACTACAATGACAGATGACAAATGAAAGAATCATAAATTCAGTTCTAAATTTACAATGTTTAGTTCAAAAAAAAATTTTCACTGTATTTTGAACAATAAATGAACAAGACTATTAAGTGCATAATATTAATAACAAATATTAAGAGGAGAATCTTACCAACCATCAAGCATTAATTAGGTCAATTGTAGATACCAGCTCAGGTCCATTGTAGATTTCTTTCTTGTAGATGAAAAGGAGAATCTTATTGAAGAAATCACCAATTTTTGAAAGGAAATCACTGCAATCTGGGTTTTGATTCAAAAAAGGAAATAAAAAAGTAAAAATAGAGGGAAGAATTAGGGTTTTGAATAAAAAAAGGAATTCAAAAGCAACCTGTTTTTTATGGAACAAGAAGAGACAAATTAGGGTTTGGATTAAATAAATTAAAAAGAAATAATGGAACAAAACGAAAAGGGAATGAGAGAAATAAGGAAACCAGAAAGGGAAGAAAGAGAAAGGGAAAGTGAAAGTGAAAGTGAAGAAGCGGGGGCGCCAAATTCTGTAATTTTCAACTTATTTTAACTTTCCTTTTTTGTTGGCACTTTAGCGTTAACGTTACTGTGCCATTAGTTGCCTTTTTTTTGTTCTGCCAAGCCAAACACGGCATTAAGTAGTGCACTGCAGGGGACCGCATGGTTAGGAACAACAGAGTATTTGCGCCCAGACTAGTAAGAATTTACGTTATTTAACATATTGGGAAACCTCAACTGGTCCTTTATGAGAAATTCTCTGAGTCCTTTAACATAACCCTTTGAGAAATTTAATTCTATCCTCTAAGAAATTCCAATTTGTCCTTTATTTGGACGGGATATTCACCTGAAGAGGTATAAATGTCATTAGCCGAACCAATACAACCCATTACATCTAAAGGTTGAATAGCTTAAAGAGAGGTGTATTTGGTGTCGGTTGAAAATTAAATTAAAGTAGTTAAACTAAATAGGTGCAATGGATGGTGAAATGACACATCCAATCTCAATAGACACCATGCCCTCTATAACTACCTATAAACCCCATTTGGAAATTCACTTTAAAAAAAATTCATTTATCAGATTTCTTTCCTCTCCAACTCAAGTGGGTTCAAGCCATAGGTCTAATAGTCAGAGCCACTTAGACTCAAAACTAATTTCACTGAGTCATACTAAAATTGGTCCGAACCATTTGGTTTGGTTTGCACCTTATTCATATTTTATATGGTATAGATGCATATTTGAATCAGAAAGAATATTACATAGAGGTGATTCGCCGCATGCACGAGTTTGAAATGATGTTATTGGTGAATAAAGACTGTTGTCACTGTAGAGTTTGTCACCTCCATGCGGAGTGTAAATTGTTTTAAAGACCTAGTATCTAATATGGAGTACTTATCTGGTCTAAATTCTTTATTTATTATTATTTATTTACATAATTAATTAAATATTTAATTAATTATTTCTTAACATATTATTAATTATTTCATAGCACATTAATATAAGGTTTGTTATGTCTAACAAATACATGCCTATTCTACAAAAGGGTATATTATTTTTTATAATATTCTCAAATTATTCTTTTGAAATTGACTTAATTAAACATGGGCCTAATTAGGAGTTAAAAAAAAAAATGTAGTATAAGAGAATTTTGGGACAAAGGCAGTATGTTTTTTAAAAAACAAATGTGCGAGACTAGGGAATGAGTGGGAGGCATATATTATACTCGTATGTGTTTAAAACGAAAAAATGAAAGAGATGATGGCAAACCCTAGGAGGAATTCATATTCAATTTCATGCGGGAACAACGAAAGCTCATCGTCGTCGTCGGAGAACAACCAGCAGCGGCCATTTGAGGCACAAACCCTAACAGCGGTGAAATTGTTTTTGAAGAAGCCCCATGCCTTCCCTTTTCTCCTTTCGTTATTCCTCCTCCTCACCTGGCTCTTCCTCAGATTCCAACAACTGTCTCCACATTTCTCCACCTCCTCCCCTCCACACCTAGAAAGAGAAGACATTGATGGCGATCAGAAGGCCAACCTCGTCAGATTCGCCTCTGCCTATCCTTCACGCATCACCAAAGACAAGCGCGGATGGTTGCTGAATCCCCTCTCCGTTGCCTTTCATGCTGGCATTTCAGGTCTCTCCTTTCTCTTTTATCTCTGTGTGTGTATATATTAATATATATTTATCTATGTGCCCAAATATTTATCAATAAATTCATTATCTTCAATGTTGCAACCTTTTGTTTTCTGTTATATATATATATTTCCTTATATATATTTTTTTAAATGTGAATTATTTTACTTCTGATTGCTTTCCTTGTTTCCTAGAGTTCTTTTCCTTTATAATGACTATGGCTGGAAGAATTTCTAATCTAGTGCTTTTTTTTTTTTTTTTTTAAGTTAAAGTAGTCTAGTGCTTTTTGTTCCTCTTTCTTTTCTCTATTTATTTTTGTCAGTTTCTTTATATAAGGTGTTAATGCTAACTTTTGATAATTTATTAGGACATACTTGGACTCCCATCGAGATAGAGTGATTCTATTCTATTTCTTCAAAAAAAAAAACAAAAAACAAAAAACAAAAAAGAAGAAGAAGAAAATATAGGGCCTTAAATGAGTTCATTGAAGACAATGCTGAGCGTCAGCCCCACTAATGGTATGGGCCAAAATTTGGAATGCTTCGAAATCATCCTCATCATCCTTGCCTTATTCTCTGGCTCCCTTCCTTTCTATTACCCCCCATATCACCTACTTTGTTTAACTTATAAAAGTCATTTCTAGTAACTTCTTCACGTTATTTTGGGTCTCCCTCTCCTTCTCTTACCTTCGATATGGTTGTTGTGAATATTTGTTTTTCAATTGCCATTTTCTATATGAGCTCATTAGATTGACAGAACTCTACCTCCAACACCACATAGCCATTAAATTTTATGGAATTTCCAAACTCGTCCGTATTTAATTTCTCAGTCACTGTGAGTGAAAAATTGTCTTTGAGTTGTGTTTGTTTCATCCTATTACAGTTGAAGCTAGTGATTTCTCTTTGTGGTGGAAGACTTGCTTTATTTGATATGAATTACATATAGAGATTGATAGTTATGTTTTCATCTTTGTTCTTCAGTAATCTTGATAATCTATAATTTCGTAGGAGTTTGTTTTCTTGTAGGGGGTGCACTGACTTGTGTTTCGATTCATGTTGGCGAGATCCAACCTGGTGGTGTGAGAGGAAACCATAGGCACTACACCTGCAATGAGACATTTCTCATATGGGGGGCTAAAACGATATTCAGGGTATGCTTTGTCTGCCTTTGAAGATCAAAGACTGTCTCATTCTGCTTTTGTATAATAGAAAGAAATATTGATTTCTTTTGTCCAATATGATGATTGCTATATGTTTCTACACTATGTAACTGTTACAAAACAAACACCAACGGCTGAGGTCAAGTGGTATCTCCTCTTCTTCCTCCTTCCAAATGGAAGGTTGAGGATTCGAGTCCCCAATGGGACCAATAGGTAAGAAAAAAAGAAAAAGAAAGAAACTGTTAAAAAAACAGAGCTGTTTAGGAAACAGTTCATGTTGTAGCAATGGAGGCTTATACTCCTTCCGATTCTCTGAGAAAATGAGGAAAAATAAAAGGAAATGATTGCAAATTGCTTCTTTCCTAAAAATTTATTTTTCCATCTTATTCCTTCCATTCTTCTTGAGAACCAAATGGAGGATTGAGAATGCAATTCACAGTTATGTTTTCTGCATGATAACTCAACTTATGCTGTTGTCCTGAATCCCTGATGCACAGGAATCAATCACTGTTTTGTAGGTTCTATCTGAAATTGATTGCATCACCTGGCACTAGTTATTGGCTATTAGTCACCTGATATTCTGTGCCTTCTGCAATGACATAAAAAAGATATTTAATGCAAATAAATAAATAAACATAAATATATCAAGATTTCTCTTATATTACATGTCATGACATTCTTCTGCATCAAATCCTTCGTGCTAAGTTATTAATCATCTACAGTTGGAGAATAATGCGGTCCATAAAGGTTATGCTGAGGTAACAGTTGGTGCAGATGAGGTTGCTGTTGCAGCCAGCCCAAGTGGGACGGCACATGCTTTAGTAAATGTGGATCCTGTACGGAGTACATTCTTCATAGGGTGCCAAGACAGTATAATCAATTATAATAGCTCGACTTCTGATTTTAATATTTGGAAAGATCTTTAACTGTTCCTTGTGCATCTTTGCATCCCCCCTTCTATCATTTGGTAAATTGGAATCGTACATTTAATCTTAATTTTTTTGTTTAGTGTGAAATTCATACTACTAGGACTTTGAAAGATGAAGTTTATGTGCATAAGCCGCAGTTGCTGTCCTGTTGCTTGGTTTGTTTGTAACCCATTCTTCCATGTTATATAAATTGTTCAAGTCACCATTCTATGCTTTACACACACACACACACAGAGCTTAGATTTCATTGAACGAACTATCGGAGTTGTAGTTATGGATCTTGTGGCTTATGCTTCTTGAATTCTTCATAGAATAGATGCAAAATCTTCATTTGACATGTGTCAATGCATCACTAACTCAACGCATGTTGTATTTGGCATAAATCTGCCTGTACGCAAGCACATGGGTGCGTGTGCACTCATTTTTGTTTTGCGAGTATGTTGCATACATTAATGTGTTCTTGTGTATGCATGCATGCATGTGAATGCATAGATGTGGTGTGTATGGGCGTGCATATGTGCGTGTGACCCCATTAGTGTTGGGCTATACTGTAAAGGATGCTTGTCTATTTGTCTTTCCCTTAGAATTAATCTATAAATTTTGAATCTTAATCTCTTGATTACTGAGGCCTTTCTGTTGTCAAACATGAGGATGAAGGTCTGAACCTTCACGGTAGACAAAAGGAACTAATGCCAATGTTAGACTTGTAACCATTCTATCCCTCTGGGCTGACTTGACTACACTGGTAATGATCCCTTTTTTCTTTCCAATCTGCAGTGTTCATCCTTTATGTTGTAAGCTACTCTCTATTTTGTATTTTATTGTGTTGAATTTTGGATTGTTTTATAGGTCCTAAAGAATAAAGATGACTCAATTAAGATTTATTTATTTTCTTATTTTCAAATGTATAGTAGGCTTGGTGCAACGGTAATGTTGCTTTATTGCAACTTGGAGTCAGCCTGTTCAAGATTACAAATAACAGTGATAAGGGTAAGTGATCTTTTTCTAATAGAATTTTCAAGAAAATTAGTTGACTTAATGATCTTGTAATCATATAATCTAATAACTCAAGGAACCACGAATATGTGAATTTAACTTTTCTAGGGATATGGTGCACTGGGAAATGGTTCAAGTTTGGACATGTTCTTTAGCTGCCTTTGACGTCCACGTGAATTGTATTGTTTATCATTCTAGTACATAATACATCCTTCATAACTCATGTGAGCAAAAAAAAGTAAATCATTCCATGGTTCTTTATGTTTGATGACATATAGACACAGTTTGACATACAAATGTCATTCGATGGTCTGTATGTTTGATGACATATAGGCAGAGTTCGATCATATTTTGTAGGTTGATATTTGGACTTCTGCTTTCTGTTCTTTAATGGGGATTAAATTGAGTTGGAGCTCAAACTCTTTGGGGACATGCATGTTGCCTAAACCTGGCTTTCGCCTGTTGGCATCTCTAACCAGAACTGAGACATTCTTATTAAATATATATATATAGGTTTAGTGTATAGCTCAAATCACTTCAGGTGACAGGGGAACCCATAACAGAATCAACCTCAAGTCGGTAAATTAGTTAACCATCACATATCTCTCTGTCATTTGAAGAGATTAAGAAATAAAAGTCTCATAAGCTAGAAACCTTGTCTAACACTTATTTTTATTGGTGGTTAGTAGTGAGTGCCGATGGAGGTTCATGGAGGGTACTATGAGAGGTGGATAAGATGCTAGTTACTCTGCAGGTAGAGAAGCGGTCATCATGCGTTGAACTTGAGGGAACTTTTAGAACAAATGAAATAGCAGTGATTGTTGAATGATTTAACCATAGTGGACCCTATGTAGTCTTTTTCTTGTTATTATTATTATTTTTTCTTCTAATTAGCAATTATACCTCTACCAGTCCATGTATAGTGGAGAATTTAGCTACCTAGGCATCACGCATAACCATTTACATTTGTTGTTCAAATGAAGTTCCTAGGTTATGCAAGAGCAATAACTCTTTTCATTGGGCTCTCTCTCTCTCTGTTTTGAAGATTGTGATTTAGAAAGGGAAACTTTTTTTGTAATATGTGAAATTTAGGGTATGATTTGATGGAACCATCTATTGATTAAACGGAGATTTTCATAGAATTAGTCTAGCAATTTTTTGTGAGAAAATGTTGGGCAGTTAAGAAACAACACATGCACAAAATGAAATTGGTTAAAATGCAAATGTGTAGATGAATATGTGGCAAGATGAGAAGGAATAAAATAAAAAATGAATACATTCGTGAAATGGTTGAAGTAGGGAGATTATCCTTAAGTTCACCAATTGTGGTCCGGATTGACTAATTGAGGGTGAGGGTGATGCTAGGGGAATGGAAGATCAAAATTAACATGGATGGAGTAAATAAAGATATATATGATAATGTATGGTTTGACTAAGGTTTTTTTTTTTTTTTGGTCGTCAACCCATAGCAAAATCCCATGAGCTGTGAGCTCTCCAGATAAGTTTCCATTCAGAAAAAAAAAATAAAATAAAATAAAATTTCATTTTGAGATTGGTAGAGATAATAAATAAGGAGCTTTATCAGAATTTTTAGTAAAGGAGGAAAAGGCACGTGGCGTCTTGGATATGAATGTGTGTTACCGGATTGAAGTCTCTTCGGGAATGGTAAACTTTTTCATATTTTTTTGGGATTTTTGTTAATTTAGGAAGCTTATATAGAAGAGAATAGGACTTATTAAGGTCTGACACCATCATAATTGCAATTCAATATTTCTCCATTACCTTTTCAATTGCAATATTTCCTTATTCATGCAATTTCGTTTGCCGCATTTAATTCATCCTGTAATTTAGGTTGTTTTCGTGCAATTTAAATTCCTTGTCAGCTTAATTATGTACTTTCCTTTCAAGTTTTTCAATTTAGTTTATTTTTCTTGCTTTCTTGTTAAGTATTTCAATGTAAATCAATTTCCTTTTCATTTTGCAATTCCTTGAAAAGTACTTTTCATTGAGGCAATTTGAATCTTAAAAGGAGTTGGATATTCTCTCTCCTTGAGAATAGTTGCCTGATCCAGTTTTCATATTCAAAAGAGATATACTTTCGATCTCAAACACATTATGACGCTAGGCGCTCGCACGCTTGCATCAGCCATAAAATAAAATAAAATAAAATAAAATAAAATTTTGAGATTGGTAGAGATAAAAAATAAGGAGCTTTATCAGAATTTTTAGTAAAGGAGGAAAAGGCACGTGGCGTCTTGGATATGAATGTGTGTTACCGGATTGAAGTCTCTTCGGGAATGGTTAACTTTTTCATATTTTTTTGGGATTTTTGTTAATTTAGGAAGCTTATATAGAAGAGAATAGGACTTATTAAGGTCTGACACCATCATAATTGCAATTCAATATTTCTCCATTACCTTTTCAATTGCAATATTTCCTTATTCATGCAATTTCGTTTGCCGCATTTAATTCATCCTGTAATTTAGGTTGTTTTCGTGCAATTTAAATCCCTTGTCAGTTTAATTATGTGCTTTCCTTTCAAGTTTTTCAATTTAGTTTATTTTTCTTGCTTTCTTGTTAAGTATTTCAATGTAAATCAATTTCCTTTTCATTTTGCAATTCCTTGAAAAGTACTTTTCATTGAGGCAATTTGAATCTTAAAAGGAGTTGGATATTCTCTCTCCTTGAGAATAGTTGCCTGATCCAGTTTTCATATTCAAAAGAGATATACTTTCGATCTCAAACACATTATGACGCTAGGCGCTCGCACGCCTGCATCAGCCATAAAATAAAATAAAATAAAATAAAATAAAATTTTGAGATTGGTAGAGATAAAAAATAAGGAGCTTTATCAGAATTTTTAGTAAAGGAGGAAAAGGCACGTGGCGTCTTGGATATGAATGTGTGTTACCGGATTGAAGTCTCTTCGGGAATGGTAAACTTTTTCATATTTTTTTGGGATTTTTGTTAATTTAGGAAGCTTATATAGAAGAGAATAGGACTTATTAAGGTCTGACACCATCATAATTGCAATTCAATATTTCTCCATTACCTTTTCAATTGCAATATTTCCTTATTCATGCAATTTCGTTTGCCGCATTTAATTCATCCTGTAATTTAGGTTGTTTTCGTGCAATTTAAATCCCTTGTCAGTTTAATTATGTGCTTTCCTTTCAAGTTTTTCAATTTAGTTTATTTTTCTTGCTTTCTTGTTAAGTATTTCAATGTAAATCAATTTCCTTTTCATTTTGCAATTCCTTGAAAAGTACTTTTCATTGAGGCAATTTGAATCTTAAAAGGAGTTGGATATTCTCTCTCCTTGAGAATAGTTGCCTGATCCAGTTTTCATATTCAAAAGAGATATACTTTCGATCTCAAACACATTATGACGCTAGGCGCTCACACGCCTGCATCAGCCATATTAAATTTGGCTAGCCTTGCAGATTTAATGAACGAACATTTCCATAATTCCCTCTTGTTTGGAGTGCATGACATGGAGCCCAAAGCAAACTGCACAAAACCAATTAGGGGCAGTGTCTGTGCACAAAATGGCTCTGTTTGGTGCACGGAAGCAAACTGCACAAAACCAATTAGGGGCAGCGTCTGTGCACAAAATGGCTCTGTTTGGTGCACGGGACAGTGTAAAAAAAATATATCGTACTTCTTACAACACAATTCAAAAAAAAAAAAAAATTATTTTAGTGAATTTTAGTAATTTTAATTGAATTTTGAAGACCATTTAACACGATTAGTGACCTATTTATATTTTTTAGTCACTGTTCTTATTAAAAGGCATAGTAGTAATACTTTTTACTAAATTAATGAATGATAATATATTTAAGTATGAAATAAATTAAAATTTATACCATATATAATGTTGCACCTGGGGTTTTTCCGCACCTCGGAGAGGAGGACCTCTAGGATGACTAAATGAAATCACCTATGGGGAAAAGAGGCTTAATGCGAGGGAAGGCTACGACTGAAATTCTATGGATAGGGCTAATTAGTTTGCATGGAGTCACCGTCTAACATTGGATTTGTGGTGTGGTCAGTCATCCAAGGAATGTCTAAGGATTTATTGGAATAGATCTTGTGTATGTGGGTCCTAGCTGCGTATGACTACCATCTAATCTTCGTGAACCAAATTAATGGATTCGGGGGTTTGATTATACCCTCATAAAATTTGTGAGACATAATTACCTTATTTCTCATGTTGTATTCCTATGCTAAGAGCTGGAACACTTTACAAAGCTTAAGATGGACATGTCCTTAAAATCAAAAGTAGTCTTGAAAAAGTCATGTTTGAAGTTCTTGAAAACCAATGATTTGAAGAGTGATTTTGAACATGAGTTCTTTTCAAAAATAACAATTTTGAAATGTATGACCAAGCTTAGGTTGCCTACATAGCTTGATTATGTCGAGATTCAGGTCAAATATATTTAAATACGATGAACTTGGAAACTTTTGTTGTTTTAAAATAGGAACATATGAGTTGTTTAAAATAGAGTGGGAGTGTTTTGAAAAAGATGAAGTTCTTTGAGGATTTAGAAAAAGAGTTTGCCTGAAACTCTTTTTTTCTAAATCCTCAAAGAACTTGTTTGAAAACATGGCATAGAACCTTGAAAAGGGTTTTTGAAAAATGAGTTGAATTTGAAGAGAGAGTTAACTTATGAGTCTTGAGTTGAAAAGAGAATTGACTTACGAGCCTAGTTCATCATTTGTTAGATTTAACTATGAAAAACCTAAATGAAAAGCTAGGAGTGGTGAACCTATTGGTTTATGAAATGACATGTTGAATCTAAAGAGTTCATGCTTGATCACTAGGGTTTGTGTCTTACTTGACGTAAGTAGACTCGAGTGAATTTGGAAAGTGCTCCTAGGCTCTAAGGAATCTAGGGTTACGACTTGATTAACTTAACTTGCGGGTAACTAGGGTTTCCTAGTTTGGATGACCTAAGTTGTATGGAAGCTAGTGCTTAATAAAAACAAACTTA